AAATGGAGCCAGTAAGGTTCGTGGATTTCAGAGAAAGCGATTCCAAATGGTCGAGAGCTGCAAGCAAAGGGAAAACATGGCTGAAATTAGAGCTCAACGACACGAAGCTCAAATCTATGGCGGAAACTCTGGTTTCCTTGCAGGAAACGCCGGAAAACGAACATGGGTCGCCGTTGGAAAGCCAGTTTTGAAGGAGGTTTGGATTGGGAAGTGAAGATTTCAATGAAATCAGCTGCTGGGCGTCTGTATGAGAAGAAGAAACAGAGAAAACAGAGAGGGAAAAAAGGAAGAAAAAGAAGAACAGAAAGGATATTGAAGAAGATGGGGAAAAGGGTATCATTGTTTTGGGGTAGTAAGCAAAAAGGAAGCGGAAAAATGCATTAGGGTTCAAAGTCCGCCATTAGAGAGGGAGAAGCAGAGCTCAGTAGCTCTGGTTTTTCTAGAGAGAGAGATGGGATCAAAAGTCTGAGGAAGGAAGGGAAGAAGGGTATTTATGAAGCAGAGAGAGTGGGCACAGCTGTTGGTCACATGCCATGTGAGTCTGCAACAAAAAAAGGAGAAACAAAACCCTAATTCAATTAATTAATCTTGATTAAGCTTATCTAAGATTGAAGAACAGAGTGATTTAAATATTCAAAGTTTGAAACTTTTTCAAACCCAAAAATCTCTACTAAATTTGTGGCTCCAAAACAGCTTCTTTGTCTCTCATGGAGGGAGATGAGTACGTAAAATCTGCCAAACTATCCATTTAATTTAAAATTAATGTCTTAATCATTAATTAATTCACTTTCTCTCTCTAGCTTTATGATGATCAACGCTTGATCCATCGCCATCAATTTAATTTTTTTTTTTTTTTTTTTTAATGCAAATTCGGTAAAGATCTCTAAAACCATCGCATGTTTTCATTTCCCTTTCTCTTCATTAAATAGTGGTCAAGTTCTTCACTTTTTCATGAACAAAATTTATCATTCTTCCATTAATGTCACTTAAACTTTTTAAACAAATCATTTTGTGTTTCTTAACCCGGATTGAACAAAAAGAGTAAGAACATAAATTGACGTGTCGGTTAACAGTGAATTTTATGTTTTTTAGTACTTTTGAGCAAAATATCTATGAAACAAACTTGTTTTAAGTATCACGATGATGGCATTATCTGTGTTATTGTTTTAAACATCACGATAAAAGCATTATCTGCTCCCAACACATCACGTGAAGCTTTTTGCACCGGGAAGAATTTCGTGGTGTTGGTGTGATTATACTCGTGAGCTTTTCTCCCGGAAATCTTGATCTTAATTATATAGAAAGAATTCAAGTTAATTTTTAAGTTGAACCGTCTTCAAAAGACAAAATGACGTAAATACCCTTCATCTAGTTGTTATTTTTAGGGTGGAAAAGGAAAGAAAAAAGACATTCAGGTGCCTTTATAGTCCTTACGTGGGGAATTCTGTTTTCCCGGGAGGGGTATCCGATAATTGAGATTGTTCCTTTGAGTGAACGATAATTGTGAAATTTCGGGGACAAAGAAGGGTATATATGTCATTTCGTATATTTTGTCGGATAGAGTTCGGATATATGGAGGATGAACTGTCGTTTTAGATCAGTTTTTCACTCCAAGCTTTCACTTCTTCCTAGATTTATCTTTCCAGATGGAAATTGGGCTTTTAAATTGGGCCCGATAGGCCCAAAGCATCCTAATTTGGCCCAATACTTTGCTACAAGTGGTCGAATTAATATTAAAAAATGATAATTAAATAGAAAGAAAATAGGTAGAAGATAAGACAAATTGAAGAAACTATTATTATTATTATTATTATTTTATTTTTTTTTGGACCTGAAATAAAGATAGAATCAACCTTTGAAAGTAAAATCAATCATTTAAATTTCATTTTTTCATGAACAAAATCAAATTTTCATTTAAATTTTAAAACAAATCAATCATTTTGTGTTTCTTAAAAGGGATTGAACGAAGAGAGAAAAAATGTAAATTGACGTGTGAATTAAACCATAAATTTTATTTTTTACTACTTTGGAGTGAAATATTTATGAATCAAACTTATTTTAAATATCGCGATAAAAGCATTATCTCTGTTGTTGTTTTAAGCGTCACGATGAAAGCATTATCTGCCTCCAACACATCACGTGAAGCTTTTTATACTAGGAAGAGTTTCGTGGTGTTGATGTGATTATACTCGTGAGTTTTTTTTTTCCCCTAAAAAATCGTGATTATAATTATCAGTTTATTAATTTTATGATGATAATTAGTGTATTTCTTTTATTTTTATATTACGAACCTGTTTATTAGTTTATCCATCATTGTTATTTGTAAATTTTTATGTTGAATAGCCTTCAAAAGATCGAGTGACATGTAAAACATCGCTATAACTTAATAGATAAAACCCTAATGATTGAAACAACTCAATGGATAGGTCATATTTCTGCGACCATTGAACTAAAAAAGACAGAATGACGTAAAATATGAAATATCTTGGTCTCTTCATTAAAGAATTGATACTCAAACGCTACGAAGAACATCAGTAGTTTCACCTAGGAGTAATTCAAGTACTGATTAAGTTACTGTTCAAGTTTATCCTTACTCTTAGGGGTAAGAGACGTTCGAATTTTTTAAACTTCTAATTAGAAAGTGCCCAAGTGTCGATCCTATCATGAAAGATGGTGCAACCTATTACTTCGAATGCTGCCCAACATTACTCATCATCTCTCACCAATCCAAAAATCTTAAATTCTTTAATCTTTATGATAATTTTCAAGTGATTAACTATAAATTTTGAAATTAGCGATATTTAAGATATGTTATCATTTAGGGCATACTGATTTACCCCCAAAAGGGATTAAGATTGTCTTGAGAGGGAACGACTCTACTCATCGAGACAAACGCCAATAATTAGTGATCTATGTGAAAAAGAATATTACAAATGAGAAATTTTCAAGAAAAACATCACGTATGGATCAATTAATCAAAACGAAGTCTATCGAGAAACAAAAAAGCAATCCAAGATAGCATCTATTATGCTGGAAGGCTGTCCGATTTTAGAGAGGACATGTTTTGTTAAGAAGCATCCATCTTCGAAAATATGACTACGTTGTCTACTTGTCTTGACCTATTTACAAGAGCGACAAATTATTGTCACAAATTAATACAAGTTTTTTTAACATATTTTGTTCATACGTTTATTAGGTAATTGAATAAAAATAAAAATCAAACGTTATCGATTATTTTATTTTCTTATATAACTTTTATATTTTTAGATCATTCTTATTTAAACGTGACGACGGTTACGAACACGAATGTTTAGAGAATTATGATACACCAATGGATTACAACACCATCACTTTACATCAATTTCTGTCCTTCTAGGTACCACTGGGTCCCACAACTCCTATTACTTTCCTCCAAATGGGCCCTACTTTTAATGAAAATAATTTAATTTCTCACTCAAATTTTTTTCTAAAAGTAATTTATTTTTTGTTTTTTTCTATCCTTTTAATAATTAAAAATATTACTTTTTCTTAATTTTAATGAAGTAAAAACCTATTAAAATATAAGATAAAAGTCGGTAAATATAATTTATTTTAATGAATTTAAGAACATTTTATATTATTTAATGTTTTTTTTTTGAGAGAGAAAAAATAGACTATTATTTATTAAAGTATTTAAAAAATTATTTGGAAGAAGATAAAAACAAATTTGATGGTTATGGTGATGATGTGGGAAGGGTTGAGGGGGCCACAAGCTGCCATGGACACGTGCTCATGTCCAATGTGATGACGTGGCTGAATTTGACACGTAAGGTGTGTATTGCCCTCGCTTAGTTTGACTGCTGGGTCACCGACAACTTGGCCAGCCTGTCACTATTACTGTAGCTTCCAAATGTGTATATATATATATATATATTTTTTTTTTAATTTGAAATTAGGAAAACAAGAAAGAAAAAAAAAAAAGAAAGAAAAAAGAAAACACCACACGTGCACAACTCAGATACATACAATAATTGGAGGTTTTCTGGGGCCCACCACATATTAGTGTAGGCCCCATCCCCTCTCCACAATTATATATAATTGTTTAATTTTAAAATTTAAATTAGGTTATTTTACTAAAAAATTGTTAAATATAAAATCGTTTTATTAATACATTATTATTTTATGTAAATATTTAGACATATAAACTTAATGGACAGTTAGGATACAATAATACACCATAATTCAAAGAAAAATATTACAAAATTTATTTTTTAGGTGTTGAAATATATTAATAAAGCAATAATTTAATGATATACTAACATTTTTAAATAATCTAATTAAAATTTGATGAAATTAAGCTTTTGGGAAATCATTTTTTAAAACTTATTAAATTTATTATTTTAAAAAAACACTAATAAATGAAATTGAAAGTTAAAAAACTTAATTCTTTTAGAGTTCAATAAATTCAAACAAAAAAATTTATAAAAAAAATCGAGGTTTAGAGGTTGAGTGTGTTACAGCTCTTCATTTGAATATTTTCAACTTTTAGGGTCGGTTTAAACTAAAGATTAAAGATTTGAATATTGGATCTTGACGGTGTAGATGATCAATATAGCTCGGACTAGGCTAAAGATGACATTGAAAGGGATGGGATATGTCAAAGCTGGCTTCCAATTGCTTCATTAATTCAACTCATATCTACCTAAAAAGAGAAGAAAATTCAACGTTGAAAAAATTTTCATTTTATTGAAAAAAAAAAAAAACTTACAAATTTAAGGTTGGCAAATATCAATTTGTTGGATTAATTTTGAAAAGTCAAAGGGATTTTGGATAAATTTTGTTTCTTTAGTTCATGGCGGCCCATGAAGCTCTAAACATGAACAAATTATCAAACTGTTTATTTGCAGTTCGAGTGACGACAGTTCGCTTTCATTATTTGATATCAAAACAACGAATATAAATCAATAAAAAAAAATGTTGGGGTTTTGATCTTTCTCTCTCTCATAATTTGCTTAAAAGGCAGTTGAACAGTACCATACTGTTCACAATTCAAAAGCTATATTCAGCTATGAAAACAAGAGGATAATTGTGGAAGCAAAGGAGATGAATATCAATGTAGATAGTGTCCAATTTTTGTTGGTACCCAAATCTTAGGCAGCCATGGCCATTCTGAGGCACATAGGGACACTTGCTTGGACCCAGATGCAGCTGTAAATAAAATTGAATGAACCTGACTTTCTCTCTCTGAAGCTTTTTAGTAAATCCATGAACCCTTTCTCTTGTTTTCTTCTCCATCACTGAAACAATCACTCAGCCAGGCAGAGGGAAGGCTAAGAACCCCTGGGCAACATAACCAACCTAAAACATTAGGCTGTCTCCTAAGAATATCACAAATAAAAACAACAGAGAAGTGTAAAAGAAGGGCTTGCTTCCTGTAATCATCACTTCAGCAAATCCATAAAGATATTTTGAACTTTGCCTCAGTCATACTAGGAAATAAGGCATCTTATGGTAATTAACATGTTAGAGAGAGAGAGAGAGAGAGAGAGAGAGAGAGAGAGAGAGAGAGAGAGAGAGAGAGGAGAGAGAAAAAGAACATTTTCCAGTCTGCAAATGACAAGTCCTAGAGAGTTGCAGCTGCTGTCTGTGCCCTGCAGAGATAATAAATTCCGTAAGTGTCAAATTAGGACTAAAATTTACTGTTCTAATGAAAGCATTCATTCTCCAAGAAGAACTGCCACAGAGAGGCATAGTTATTGGTATTGTTTTCTCGATTACCTGTCTCAAAAAAAATTGGCAGATCAAACTGAGAGGTACCACAGTCATTGAACCCACAGGAGGTTCCTATTTACTATTAGTCCTCCCAATAATTCAATGATCCTTCTTCAGAAGCCCACCTAAAACATAACAAGGTATGTTTCTCACGTGCAAAAAATTTCCAGGTGAATCTTAAGAAATCAGATTGCAACTAATGGTCCACTAATGCTTGGACATCGAAATGGGTTAGTCAGATATAGTAAGAAAATTTCAAGCAACAAAGCATAAAATACGATAATACGTCGACCGATGCACAAAAATGTTGGAATAGCGACTAGACAAGGAGATTGAAGTAGGGAAATATCTATACTCTATTGATAACTGTGGTATCTGTAACATTGTATACCTTTTGTAGGGGAACCATTGAGTTGCATCCCTTCAAAAGATGGCATACCTTTTTCATGTGAATAAAAGAAAGAAAGAGAACTAAAAAAAAGCTATAATGAACTAAAATAGGTGAGGGGCCCTGCCAATTATGTGTCAAGAATCTCCTGGAATATACTGAAGTCAATATCATTTCCTTTTCTCTCTCTAGTCTCTATATCATTTCCCTTTTATTTTTTCATCAATGGCCATTATTGGGGAAAAAATAAAAACTACAAAATCTACTCAGCTCTAGATCTTTTCATCAAGATCGGAAGATTCTGATCCAGTGTGCTTTAATGCTTTGCTACTTGTTGAGGAAAAACTACGACGCTCCTTCCCTCCTGGCTTAGATGAGGCATTTCCATACCAGATCATTCCAAGAATTGCGATGGCCATACCTATAATTACTTGTAAGTTGAGGCCCTCTTTCCCAAAGAAAATGAATCCTAACGTCAAGACTAAAATAGTCTTCATATGGCCGAGCACTTGGAATGTCACAGCAGTGAACCTACCAATGCATATGAACTGGCTGAGATTTGTCCCTACCGCAATGGTACATGAAAGGATTAAGAACGTCTGCAAACAAATTCACATTGATAAAAATCAGTTGCTAAGCAAACAACTAGCTTCAAGAAAGTTGTTTATGTAGTTTTGCAGATGAAGTGGCACAAAATTAGTTATGATCCATGTAAAAGGAACAAGGTTTCTTGATTGAACAAGTGGTTCAAGCATAAATGTACACATCACATATTCCCAAGCAAGGTGAGCTATGATAATGCAATCGCATGCTCCCATCAAGATCCAAATTAACCATTGGGCACAAAGATTGCTCATTATACAAGACTTTGTCGGTTATAACTGTCGGCAGATTCAATCTTTGCTTTCCTTCAGAATTGTGAGCATTTTACTCTTTTCCAAAGAGATGACTAAGAAGGATAATAGGTTTCTTTGCATGAAAAAATCATCAAAAGTGAGGAAGCTTCACAGAGAAAAAAAAAAGACAAGTTTCATATCATTATTCTGTGGAGTTAAAACCAAAAGACAAGAAATACTTGTGGGCCTCATTAACAGATTCTTTGAAAACTTCAATGTGCCTCCTCAGATAAAAGTGAAAGAAATGGCTTGACTTGTACCGTATTCAGTCATCCAGAGTGATAAGGTGAAAAGCAGAAATAAGTTCCTTCTTTTGTCTTTTGCCATGATGTTACGCTCAAAAGAAAGTTTGAACAGGAAGTAAGAAAGGTCTGCTAGAAAAGAGGTAATGGTGATTGCCAGAAGGCACTTCCACAGTAATTGGAGGTGAATTTAGATTTCTTAAGACTTTCAACTATAATCTCTCTCTTTTTTTTTTTTTTTTTTTTTTTTTAAATTTATTAACAACTCTTTTCACCCAGACATTCAGTGTCCAAACAAAGACATGTGCATGAGAATCCATGGTAGGATTGATACTATCCCAAGGTTATGGGGGATGGACAAAGTTAAGGAACATTCATTACTCTCCAAGTCCATCAGGTTTGGAAACTCGGTGGAAATTTATGTGGCAACTTCACTAAATGCCCTGATAAGCTTCAGGTTTGGTAAAAGCTTGAGAGCTGTTATTGAAGTTAGGATAACTATTGAGGGTGATTTGTTCCTAGATGAAACAACGTTCAAAAGGAAGATAGAATTTCTTTTGTGGTTCAATAATCCCCTTCAAAGACAATCATTGAAAACCTCTATCTGTGACTGTGAGGAACATCAAAGCTCGCAGCAGCATTTCTAAAGAACCAGCAAGAATCTTTCATGGAGCTGAAAAGGATGAACAGACGGGTACTGTCCAGAACTTCTGCCAAGCTACTGAACTACTTCCATATGAAGTGGAGCAGGGGGTAACAGGTTCATTTCAACCAAGCTCAACCAGAAAAGGACCTTATATTTCACAGCAAGGGGTAATAGGCAAAGGTTTTTTTAATGATTCATCTAACGTACCAAAAATAATTGGGGTGGTTCTTGATAAACTCCAACGGATTGTTACAACACAATAATATTGGCTTTGGGTGTGTGCTTTTAGAAGGTTTGGGCTAGTAGGATGTCCGTTATAGAATTTCTTTGCAAAATTTCACCATACTAATCAAAGCGTTCCTCATATTAAAAAGAAAAACCCAAGCTCCATTGCAATCAAGGTACGCAGACAAAATTGGACAATAGCCATTGGCAAGTAGCCACTTTAGAAAAAATGACGGCTCTTAATTTAAAATGGTGAAGGATCAACGCAAAAGTGGAGAACTAAAAAAAAAGGTCAACTACTTCGCTTCTGTTATCAATCTAGATTGGGAATGTTTGTTTGATTCTTCTCTCTAGGCAAATGGAATTTCTCATCTCGTTGACCATTAGGTCATGTTGGTTCAGTTTGCCTCCTACACAATACATAGAAGTGGCTAGGAAATGTTGTTGCCACAATAAAAACAAGTAATAGCATGAGATGATCCATAGGAACTTATGCATCAATGCAAGCAAATCCACGCTACGTGGTATCATTGTTCTCTTCAGAGTGTCTTTGGGCAAAGGTTTTTTTTTAATGTTTCATATAATGTACCAAAAATAATTGGGGTGGTTCTTGATAAATTCCAACGGAATGTTAACACAAGAATATTGGCTTTGGGTGTGTGCTTTTAGAAGGTTTGGGCTAGTAGGATGTTCGTTATAGGATTTCTTTGTAAATTTTCACCATATTAAACGAAGTGTTTTTTGTCAACTAAGGTATAAAGCAAAATGCCAATTTTTTTTTAAAAAAAATAGTTACCGTCTCTGATGCTTACCACAACCCTCCCCAGGCATATTAATAGATATAAGAGCTTACCAAGGACATAAAAGTGTAACCATAGGCATCGACTCTCTTTCCAGTCAACCAATAGTCTGAAAAGGGCCCGACTAACAGCAAAGATGCAGCCTGCACTGGAGCGGTATGACCCAATAAGTTGAATGATCCAAGAGAATATTTTCGCTGGAGGTGATGTACATACTGCACCGAAAGAAAAAAGGCCAAGGCTGTATTAGAAAAATACTCATTGGTCCAGGAATGAACCAAACAATCCCAATTATCAGTTAAGTTAATTTCACCATGAGACAAAGTGGTAAAAACTAATTCTGTCAAAAACCAATCATACACCACTATTGTAATTTCAAGGTAACCACTAACCAGAAAATAAAATTTTATGCAGCAGTGCCAATTTAAGATTAATGATGCAGTTACTTACATACTGCTGCAAGGCAGTGCTCCATACCGCCACTACGGCAGCCACAAAACCTTTCATGTTGACACTAACATCAGTGACAGTACAAACTCCAACACCAAGTAGAACTAACAGTATGCTAAGCTTTGTGTCCCTTGAGTATTGCACCTTATCCAAAACAACTTCTAGAAAACAAGATACGGGGATCATGCTCAACTTTGCAATCTGATTATGAAAGACGAATTACAACATCATGTTAATTCTAAAAACTAAAGGAAGAATGAACAAATTTAACAATGAACAAAATATAAAAAATATACCTGATAGAACCCAACAGAATTCCACATTAAGCTCACATTCATTCCCACAATGGAGAAGTTAGCAAATATAACAAATTTAAGAATGTCAAGGAATGGTAAGTGAGAATCTTGAATATAACCAAGTTGCTTAAGAATAAAAGTCAGCAAGGACGTTGTGGCGAAATGTAGGCCAGTTAAAGTTGTAGCTGCAACAAGATGTTAAACAAATTAATTAAAAAGAAAGTCAAGTTTGGAACAAAATATAACTTGTAAGAACAATTTTTAGCAAACAAAGAACACTCCATTCATAACATGGAAACCATGAGACATCAAACATCCCAATATCAGAACTGTAAAAGAAAGAACACTATTTGAATATATTATAAGAGTTATAATGCGCACCAAAGCTGAATCCATATGTGGCCATCAATGCTTTATTGATGATAATTATCCCTACGGACGTGACGACATTAAACATCCATGAGGCAGCATCAAGAGTGGCCTTGTGATGAATCTTGCCCGGGGAAGACATTATAATCTATGGAGTTGTTTTTAGTCAGCACTTCAAGTCCTCAATCTTCATTCAAAAGAAAGAAACAGAAGTGCTTGATCTTGATGCTCCGCAGTACTAACTGTAGTATAAAATTTACCATCATAAAATTACAAATAATTAAAATAAATAAATAGAAAGACAAAGAAGAACCAAGAAAACGTTATAGCTTTAATCAAGATAAGGTATAACTTGATCATCTAAAATGAGCATTAGGCGCAGAGGGAAAATAACCCAAATTGGAAGTCAAAATAACTCCCAATAGTTCATAAATTTCGAAGGAAAACTTCAACTTTAACAAGAGCACTCCAAGTTAATTTACAGACAATAAATTTCAGACGCTAGACAATCTTGAAAATACAGAACATCTACTGGCCAAGCAAAAACGAACACTCCCGTGTAAGTAATGCACAGGCTAATTTTAAAGTGTAGATCCTTCTACTTAAGCGCTTCCATTGGCATAGTATTTAAAATTAGGGGATTCAGATCTCAAACCAACATAACAAAAAGTAAAAAACGTGACAGAGAGTCGTTTCCTTGAAGAATCTTTACATTTTGGCCATAATTAACTCCTATACCATTGAATAAGCATAATATATATTAAAAAGAGAAGAAGAAAAAAAAAAGTCCACAAACGAGTCCAAAACCATCCCAGAAATTCAAGCTAAAACCACAGAATCTTTCAACAGCTGAAGAACCAAATGATCGGGTAAGGAGACCCAATTACATGCAGAGATTGAGAATGAACACACTAATCAGTAGATCTCCTCACTCTCCACCAAATCCAAAACAAGAAAATCAACAAACACAAAACCAACAACAAAATCGAAGCAGAACGCACATTAAAATAGATCCAATTCACCGATAAACCACAAGAATCAGGACGAACACCAAGAATAGGTTTACGGAAATTTCAATCGAAGAAAACACTCCGGAAGAACAAAATTCAACAGATAGAAGAAAAATCAAAGACGTTTCCAACTTGAATCGCAGACAAAAGTAACATTGAACAAGTCAAAACTACGAAAGGTCGAAGCAACTACGAACCTTTGAAATGGAGCGGATGAAGAAGAAGAGAGCTAAAAAGGAGTTGAAAATCAGAAGAAACGCCCCAGGATTGCCGCCATTAAATGCTGGAAAATGGCAGAGAATGTTTAACGATTGAAATGGAACACACATTGTCTAATTCTATTAAATTCTTCTTCCTTCTCTCTTCTCTCCACTAACGACAACCAGCTGACTTCCATTTCATAACAGACACTGCCCTTTGTTCTTTTCTCTTTTTTTCTTTTTTCTTTTTTTTTCTTAATTCTATTTAATTTCATTTATACAAATATAAATATATAACTCCCGAAACGATTAAATTCAATTTTTAAATAATTGTATCATTTACCACAATTATTTATTTAAATACCTTAATTTAGCCATATGCCTATAATTGGGAGTTTTAATCTAAACAAACATTCATATAATTCTTTAAACAATTACGATACAAACTATATATTTAATTAAATTATAATCTAAATACAATTTTAAACTATAAATCAAAATTCATTCAGCCAAGATTATTAGTAAGTGGTATGTGATTAATCTTCTGTTTTTTTTTTTAGAAATTAGTGAACCATTGAATAGAGAAGATAAAAGAAATTCCAATTCTTTGATGGTCGTAATATCAACTAAATTAATTTTTATTTTTATTGATTTAATTTTTAAAAATTAAATATGAAATAAAAACTATATATATTTTTATTTTAAATAAATAAAATATTAAAAACTAAAACTATAAATAATAAATAAATAAATAAATATCATGATTGTGTAAACGTACCTTTTGTTGAGAGGCAAGAAAAGAGTGGGAATTGAGATGCAACAAACCCTGTAAAATAGAGATGGACAAGCCCTAATCAAATTAGGTAAATATACAAAATGTCAAATTAATAAAAATACCATTAAAACTTTCTATTTTTTCTCAAAATTATTTTCAAAAGCTTCTGTAATAACTTAATAAATAAATAAAAATATATTTAAATACCTTATTATGGTCTTCAATATTTAAAAATTACCCTTTAATATTTAAAAAATAATTTAACCAGTTTTATGTAACTCTCATTTCTTAAAAAATATATATATATATATACTTTAATTTTTTTTAACAAATTAAACAATATTTTTATCTTTAGTACCATATTTAAAAAATATTCAAGAAATTTAAAAAATAATATTAAAAAATTTAGAGATAATTTATGGAGTGTCTATAAATCTTTTTTGTTTATATATCTAAGTATATATCTAATAAATTTTCAATTGAGAAATTGATAAAGATCGTCAAATAAATAATTAAAAATATATCAAATGAATGGCAACAAAAGTAATAATAATAGAATCAAATGAAATCATCCCGGGCTTGAACAATTTTAAAGGATTAATTATTTGTATTTTTTTATTACAAAAAAGGCCATATATGGCATAGTTTTATTTTTTATTTATAATTTCTAAAAACATGATTGTATCTTATGTTTATTTGACTTTTTAATAAAATTAAAAATAAAATAGATTAACTTTTTGTTTGTAGTTCGAACATGGATTTAAAATTTAATAACAAAATTTAATTTCTAACCACTTAAAATAAAAAAATGAGTAATTTCTTTTCGTATTAAATGAGATTTAAATTTTCATTCTTTAAACGAGAAAGTATGTATTTAATAGTATAACATTATTAAGATCGGTATGAATATTATTTAGTTGGTTAGATATACTTGACTAAAAAGATAAATTATATATAATTACATGGTATAATAATTTTAAATATTCATTTTTTAATAAAATAGTAAATATTTTAAATTTAATTATTTAAATAAATAAAAGCATAATACATAATTTTTAATATATTCATTGGTTTTTAATTAATTTATATTTAAAATAAAGAAATTAATTTTTATCATTGGAAATATTAATGATAAATTAATTAAGAGTTTTCTTATAAAAGGGGATTTGAATATTGAGAAGGCAAGTGATATATAAACTGTGTATTTTGAAAATTACCAATTTTTATTCACAAAATTTCTTTTTTTTTTTTTCATAAATTTATAAAATATCTCAAAGTTGACAGCCAACTTCGGCCCCCTCCGAAAGACAAGAAGAAGCTCTTCTGGTAATTGCAAGTTGGCACGAGGGCAAAATTGTCATTTCGTATTGGTTGAACAGCGACGTTATAAAGCGGGAGAGAGCGAAAATCTTCAGCGGAGCCGCGACCGACTGATCTGAAAATTTTCCATTTCCCGCGTTATCATTTTCCCGTCTTTATTCAAATCTTTCTCAAACTGAGCCTCTCTGCTACGAAAGATTCTGAACTTTCTGGTCATCTGTCAATTTCTTGTTCGGAGATTCGATCCATCTTGTTTGCTACATCATTCGGTTCGATTCACTTTCTTCTATTTCCGCTTTATATCTCCGAAACTAGAGCAATTCAAATCGTATGCCTATTTTTTTCTGTTCATTACGTTTATCTCTGTCAATTTCGTTCGTGTTTAGTAGCTTTTAATGGTGATTTGTCTCTTTTGATTTCAATACTTGGTTCGCGTTATGAGACATGTTAGTAGTTTGAGTTTGAATGATGTGAGCTGCAATTTTATGTCCTGCGATGCAATAACGCAAAGTGTGCCTTATTAACATTATATCTTAGTATCTTGGTCATGAATACAGGTCTGGCTTGGGTCGATATTAAATTTCAAACAGTGAAGTACTAATTACGGATTTTGAGTGCGTGATTCACATTCGATTTTATGTTTAGAGTTCTCCTTAAGGACGCTTGGAAATTCTTTGATCCTTGTAGTAGGTGCGTTGCCGAGTAAGGATGGATCTCTATTGTTTATATTATGGTAGTGATGGAACTACTTAATTTTGTCTGATTAAGACCGTGATGAGGATTTGTAAACCACTTTAGTAATTAGGTTTTAGGGTGGTGTTATTTCGGACCTTGCAAAAAAAAAAAAAAAAAAAGAAACTCGAACTGCAGCCATGCTAGAACAATTTGGTAATTTCCTCTGTAGCATCTCTAACGATAGCATGGAAAACACTGTTTATATTATGGTGAAGGTTCTCGCTGTTAGCTGTTTCAGGTTCTGCCATCTTAATTCTACTTTTTGGATAAATAGCTCAAGTGATTCTCCTCACACCTTATTGAGTGCTGGAAAGTTGAAAAATTATGAAAGCAGCCAGACAGCCCGGTAGAAGGGCAAAAAAGTTGGAAAAAAGGCGTGGGGGTTCTGTTGACACCACTGGAGTTCAGAAGCCTAGAAAGATAACTTCTCAGGAGAAAAAAGCTCTCGACACTGCACACATTGAAGGTTTGACAACAAATTTATTTGGTTTTATGTTTTGTGTTCTATTCAAACTAATTTCCTCAAATTTCATGCCTCTTTTTTGGGAAAATTATTCTGTTTTAAATTGATGTTCTAGTGTCTTCACACGAATTATTATGTGTCTCGTTCAAGTGCGAAAAAAGAACTGATTTCTTTGTTTACAGTTATTTTCTGTATTTATTTTACGAGAATGATGTTTACAAACTACAATCTTCAACTCTTTTGATCTAGTGCAGATGACTCGAAGAACATACAGAGTTTGGTTGATCGAACCAATGCAACAGAAATGACAAAGAGTTCAGCTCTTCTTGATCTTTATCCCGCACAGAAGCCCCATCCTCGCACAAAGATCAAGCTTCAACTTTTTCCAATAAATGTAAAGACCCGCATGGCATTGGAAAAGGTACAGTCATTAGCACAAAACATTGAGGATTAAGCACAGACAAATATGTTATCTATATTTCAGTTCATATTTGAGATGTGATAAAACCATGCCTTCAATTCTTGTAGGATAGATATCATCCATATTTGGAACTGACTTTAAGGGCACGAAAGAAAATTTCTTCGGTATTAAAACATCTTATTAGCAAGTGGGGATGTTCTAATGTAGCACGAGGGGATCTCACACTTTTTCCGTACGGCAAGTCATCTAGTCTTCCCAGTGGTCTAAAATGGACTCTGAAAGACTGTGATATAACTGCTGGAGATGTCTATGCAGCTGTGGGAGGTTCCTCAATTTTTCGCTTAAGGTGCACAGTTTTATCATTTGCCTTGCTAATGATATATTCAGTCATTTCAGTTCAATGCGTTACTTGAAATTATTCTTCTTTTTAAGGTATGGGTGGGTCTGCACATCCATTCCTTTCAAACTTCATTCATCCTCGAATGGCTTGGAGAAAGGTTGCAGGAAAACCGTGCAAATCATGCATGGGAAAGGCAACCAATCTGAGGAATTGATGGACGGGATCAAATCAAGTAACGTGAATGATGCGAATAACACTGCTGCACCAGAGAGGATTGTGGATTGTCCAACTAATCCAATGGTATTATATTAATATATTCAAATTCCAAAAATTTTATTAAAATTTTAAATGAACACTATTACAAGAGAGAACATATTAGTATAAAATTTATATGATCCTTGTTCCTAGTTCACATTGCTATGAGGTCTATGCAACGAATCATTACCGTTTGCTTATTGAAAAAAGTATGATGCATCAATGATGTGAAAACAAGAAGGTACACAAGATAGATACACAACAACTGACGTTAGCAACTAATAATTAATATTATTTAATCGTCCATTGTAGCTTACTGTTTTTTGTTATGATCTTCTGAAATTTGATAAAACTGTTTGAATAGGATAATGGGCCACCGTTAGACTCTGGTTATCAGCTGTCAGCAAAATGTGGAATATTGCAGTTAGATAGTATCTCAAACATAAGCATGGGAGGCCTCCTTTCTGAAGCTTCCTTATTGGGAAAATGCAGTTTCTGGGATTCAAAGATAACAGGGGGCAATACGGGCGTACAGCCAGCTGAAGTAATAACTGATTCCCTTGATGCAAGCATTGCTGCGGCCCAGATGAGATTTTCTGAAGTTTCAAAGCAGCCCCGTAGTGATCAACATTCGTCTATTTTGGATGCTGAGCAGACTTGTGATGCTTTTGCTATGAAAAGGCTCTCTTCGTCGAGCAAAGCTACTCTCTCTATAGACTCTAATGCTGGGGGCACCTTCCGAGATGCCGATTCCAAGTTATTCAAATTTCCCAAAACACCTCAGGTTTGTCTCTCTCTCTTTTTCTTGCACAACTTTGTATGTTTTAGAGATGCGATGGTTCATGCCATCATATGGAATCCATAGCTCCCTGTTTGAGTAGTCAGATAGTTCCAATTTGCCTGATCCTGTTTATGTTTGCGTACTACAAACTATGGATTACAATTTTTTGGGACTGGTAAAAAAATCTAAACTTAAATATGATTCAAAATATCCATAATACTATCATTTATGAACATGGGATGGAAAATTTGATTGATGAAGTCTAGAATTAATTCAAGGGAAAAGAGATTAGTGACTTAATGTACAAATGCCTCATTTGATTCAGTGCCAAGAATTACATGAAATGAAGCAAACTCTATGGTGGTGTGTAATCGTTTTGTTTTCTTTTTCATGCGAAGGTGTTTGTGTGAAATTGCTAGTCACTAATCTCAAAATTTTAATTCAGTTCATACTTGATATTAGGCATGGTATATTTAATATCTTATATGCATTCTAAACAATCATGTGTGGGTACAAATTTAAGATCCTCATCTCCAATATCATGTCAAATTTCCTGTAAATCTAGATTACAATATTTTTAACTCTTTATATGTGTTCTAAACAGTAATCTAGACACCTTTTTTTTAACCTACTGTCGTTTATCATCGCCATCTTATTACAGGCCTATAGTCGATCTGAGTTTTCACAAGATCCTGCTGGTAAAGAATCCAAGACTGATATGATGTCCTGTTCGCGGATTTATCATGATGAAAGCAGCCTTGGGCTGTCAGGAATCAATTGGGTACGCCTCATTGCGATTTGCACACTTTTTTTCCCCCTCTTTTCCTTTTCTTGCATACAGCTTTCAATGATTCCTTTTGATGTTCTATACAGAGCAATTCACTAGGACCGTTTGATCTTGGCTTGCCTGTTTCCCGGAAGGCCTCCTCCAGCGGTGATGGTCTAAGCATGAGTGGCTTTGTGAGATAGCAATAATAACATAGAAGCGAATCCACACTTCAAAGACATTTCATAGTAAAGAACTTGGCCAAAAATTGCATTATGCTCATTTGCAAATATTTTGGCATGTTACTTGCAACTGTATAGATTTCTTCAGCTTTTAGTCTTACAATCCATGATTACAGAAGCTGTTGCTGCATCCATCTGGACATGAACTTTAGACTTTAAGTGGCATGCTTATAGATGTTATACTGTTTGTTTAGATATATGTTTTAATAAGTTTAGCTCTAACTGATCTAATTTGGTTAGAATTGTCTAATTGATTTGGTTTTTTAGAAATATATTCTAAGCTTTCTATTTATGGAATTGAAGGGTTAGTAAGGAGAAATCAGCTAAATTAAATTTTATATAAATAATTAAAATTATATTCTATATTTACGAAAATTTTATACATTTCAATATATCTTTAAAATTATAACATATTTTCACCTTAAATTTTATTGGTGTCTATTTTAGTTTTTAAATTTTCAACTTATTTCTATTTTATTTTTAAACTATCAAAAATATATTTTAATTCCAGAAAAAAGATGTGTTCATTGCAATTTTTAAATTAATGAAAAAATAACTTTAAATATTTGTATTAATATACAATTATATGCACATAACATAACCTTAAAATGAGTACCACTAATTCTTAATATAATTTAACACTAATTCTTAATATAATTTAATTACTTTATCGAAAAGTAACTATAAGATCAATAACATATAAAATAAGAGATTCAAAATTATGATTGAATGTCACGAAATTATTAATATTTATTTTCTAAACTTTTATGGAGAGTCAATTCAGTTCTTATGTATATGATTTTTATACGTTACAAAATATAAATTATTAAATAATAAAAATCGATATTTATTTATGGCCTAAGTGATTTTTTTCTTTTATTTTCTTCGTTTGGAAATTAAAGTAAAATTAAATGATAACAATTATTTATTATTTTTATTATTATTATTATTATTATTTGAAGAAGTTGGAAGCAATGGAATGTTTCAAACTGTTGCTTACGTTTCACCCGCCATATTTGTACGATTCATTCTGCTCTCTCTCTCTCCACCAACACTGCTTCGGATCGGACATCTGAAAACCTCCAATCCAATCCAGACAAAAACCATACGATCATCTTCTCTTTCCGCAAAATTCCAAAACCTGCCGGCGTCCGGACGATGGTATCATCACAATTCGTTTTCCAGATTCATGAACTGGAATATCCCTATTATACATTCTTCAATATCCCCATTATTTCATCACTATGCTGCCTAGCTTTCACCGAAACTTTGATTCGCATCAGACGGTGGTGGATTTTGCTATTGACAACGGATGGGGTGCGTTCAGTCAAGATCCTTTGAGTACTCGCCAAATAGTGGCGTTCGGAAGTTCAATCCGGAACGCACTTACGTCGCCGGAGGAAATCGGAGGAATACCGTCGATACGAGTCGGTCCGGAAAGGTTGCGAGAAGCTCGGCTGTTGTGAATGATGGTGGAGTTAGGAAAGTCGTTTATCTCGAAACGAAGAAGGAGAAGATTGGTGATGTTGGGAATGTTTCGAAGAGGATCAGTGTATCTGAAAATGTTGGAGGAGAAGAGCTTGTGGATGGTTGGCCGAAGTGGCTGGTTGAAAATGTTCCTAGAGAAGCTTTGGCTGGTTTGGTACCGAAGGGTGCCGATTCATATGATAAATTGGCTAAGGTTAGTGTTATTTTCATTTTGATTCTCTTTCGCTCATGCTTCATCGTTATGAATATGATTAAATGTTGCAAACTGTGCTTAATCTTTTGACATATTGCCATTTGAGATTGTTTATCGTTACATTGAATTCCTTGTTTTAAGGTTAGAAAGGACTTCACGACTATTGAGAAAGTGTGAAGAATGAAACTCTGCAACAGGAAAAAAAATTGTGTACTATTTATTCGTCAATCATTTAAATTCATTTAAATTTGATGTCTGGGTTTATAGGTAGGTGGAGGGACATACAGCAATGTGTATAAAGCTCGAGACAGGGACACTGGAAAGATTGTCGCCTTGAAAAAAGTTCGATTCGATACATCGGATTCTGATAGTATCAAATTTATGGCAAGAGAAATCATGGCGTTGCAGAAGCTGGACCATCCCAATGTCATCAAGCTTGAAGGGATAGTCACATCAAGAATGCCTTACAGCCTTTATCTAGTATTTGATTTTATGATGTCTGACTTGACTGGAATAATCTCTCGTTTCAGTAGGAAGCTCAGCGAAGCTCAGGTATAGATTAGCCAGTTTCTGGCAGTTTTAGAACAATGGGTCATTAACTACTAATTTATCGTGGTAATCGATCGACCTGAGGTAGAAAATGTTTTAGCATTGAACAAGACAAGGTAGAAAATGTTTTAGCATTGAACAAGACAAGAAGTGACTTTCTACTTTTAATAGGAAGATTAAGCATTATTCTACAATTATGCATTTAACATGAATACAACTTTGCTGGTTTTGCACAACATGAATTTTTTTTTCTGGGTAAGGTTCTTATTCTTTCTGGTATGGTATGTATGAATGTGCTTGAAATTGCTTGCCATTTTCCAGGTCAAGGCCTATATGCAGCAACTACTATCTGGTCTTCAGCATTGCCATGAAAGGGGAGTTTTACACCGAGATATTAAGCCTTCCAACTTGTTGATCGATAAAAGTGGGATGCTAAAAATTGCAGATTTTGGGCTAGCCAATTTTTTCATTCCGAAACGAAGACGTCCTTTCACAAACCGAGTTGTTACTCTCTGGTATAGAGCTCCTGAGTTGCTGTTAGGCTCTACAGATTATGGAGTTGGTATTGATCTGTGGAGTGCAGGTTGCCTTCTAGCTGAGATGTTTCTTGGAAAGCCAATTTTGCCAGGGAGAACAGAGGTAGAGACTTTCTAAACACAACCTGTGGAACTTAGATATTTAGGTACTGAACACTTTTAAGAGAGTTTTACTTTTTCTTGTTATTCTCACTTATGTTTCATTTATAGCAACTAGTTCCTTCTCAAGAATGATTTAGGCGCAAACTTGAATCCCATACCCTTTTGGACTTCTTGGATTACTTCTCATCCCAGTTTATCTTTTATGTGTGTTTTTCCACATTCTGTTGCAATGCTTCCATTCCATCTTCAGAATCATCAGAGTGCAATATGAAGAAATCATAATGGTTCATAGATCTATACTATACTACAAAGCTCCATCCTGTTAGACTATTTTAGATTGGTTTCTTTCTCTGAGGATTTTCATCAATGATATTTACAGGAAACGAATTCATATAATTTCATCTCTTTTCAGGTTGAACAACTTCATAAAATCTGGAAGCTTTGTGGTTCACCCCCCAAGGATTATTGGGACAAAATGAAGCTACCTGCAAGCTTCTGTCCACCACAAAATTATCAACCTGGTTTCCCAGAGGCTTTTTCAGGTTTTTCTACACCTTCCTTTCGTCTCATAACTACACTTCTCTCATTAGACCCAGCACGTCGTGGCACTGCTTCGTCCGCTCTTCAAAGCGAGGTAAGTATAAATTTCAAATCTTTTGTAATTCTTTTGCGGTAAAGATTTATTTAGTTAATTTAATGGAAACAAATTAAGAACTATATATTTTTGCTTCAAACTTGTTCCTTTTATGTATCATTGATATCTAGGTGGACTTAACTTCTGACGATATTTTAAAATCTTGTATCTTAGTAACGTTGAGGGGAGAAAATAAGGAAACTTTTAACAATAACATTTATCATTAAAAAAATGGTAAGCATACAGCAAGAAAGCAATCAAGTGAGGTCACCATTGTCTTGAACTAAACTCTTTTCATGGGCCGATCAGCCATGAAATCTCAGTAACTTTCGACCTTGGTTTGACATATTGTCTCTTGGATTGATAAAAGGCCTATAATAAAAATGTTAATACCCTAGGCTGCCTTAACTCAAATATTGTACAGCTTTATATCACCTTGAAAATCATAATAAGACATTAGGCAGAAGGTTTGTCAACCCTTCCATTTCTTTCCTGTTCTACATGATACAGTGCTTTAATATGTTATTCTCATAGCTATCTTTTGCTTTCAGTTCTTTAGCTCATATCCACCGGCATGTGAACTCTCAGATCTACCTGTGATTTTCCACAAGGAGGATGAGCCAGCTAAAACCAGAAGTAGGAAGAAGTATGCTTCTCGGTTCTGAATGTGATACTTCCTTTATTATGTGAATGAGCGAACCTGTTCTTTCTTATCATCCATTTCAATTTTTGTTTGGTCAGCTTATACTTGCAGGAACAACAAAATATCAACCAATTCTTAAATCTCTGTTCATTTAAATTTTCTGTCACAGTGCCCAAAAGTTCCTTAAGCAGCATATTGGCATTTTTTTTTCCCATGACCCTACTTACTTCGAGGGTGAAACGGAAAATAGAAGCAAATATTATTCTCTTGAATTATAGCATTTAACCTTTCTGTACTCACTTGAAACATTTGTAGCATAATCAGGGCAGTAGAAACTCTCTACTAATGTGCAAGAACTTTTATGTCTCCATCTTTTAGGCAAAGGAGCTCAAGAAAGATGCGCTCATCTCATTCTCAAGCACATCTTGGATCTCAGCAAGTAGCTAATGCAACAAAAGCTAGGGATTCCGAATCTTTGAAAGAGGTAGTGTTCTCCATTTTATTTTACTTTCCAGTAAGATCAATTGCTATGTGGATTTTTTCTTCAAACCTCTGCTTGAATAGCCATTCATTTTCGTTATGTCAGATTCTACTATGATATAAATTTGGGGACTGCCGGATAAAATTTTCTATTTATTAATGAGATCTGGATGAGTGGAAGTAGATGTGAAACATTCAATTTTACCTAGTAAATAGGTGATATAAGATATAAACTTGCCAGTAGACCACCGTTTGTTTTCATAAAAAAATTCCTGTAGATCGATACGCCCAAGCCATTACATGCACACTTGTGAAGGTATATTTGTTAGTTTATGGTGAATTATAATCATGAAGGGATGTTTCCTTTTTTGTTTGTTTGTTTGTTTGTTTAAATTTGCTTCAACTCAGTTTCTCTTTCCAAATAAACACCCCACTTGAATGATTATTTTACTTTTAAAAAATTTCTAATGCATTGCTCACCTGACCATCCGGT